ACATCCTCTTTATCACTTCCATCAGCATCCATGTCTGTGGTAGTAGTTAAAGTGGTTGAAGCATTTTTCCCTCCACGCCCCGTACCAGCAGGTTTGAGATTAGGTTTTGCTTTTCCAGCGTCATCTTCGTCACTTTCATCAGTAAGCTTTTGAGCAACTCCCTTGCCCACCCCACTTTTCAATTTCTTGCTCCGGGTGGCATCAACTGATACCCTCCTAGAAGGCGTGACAAAATCTTCATCATCATCGTCATCCTCAACTTTGTGAACTTTTTTCCCAGGTGGGGGTTTGACATCGCTGTCCGACTCCCCACTACCCCTTTGAGCCTTTCTTTTTGTTGAAACCTCCTCAACTTTCATCTCATCTTTCACATTTTGTTTATCTTTAGAAAAATATTTGCTGGTTTTCCTTCGGCCAGAACTTTCTTGGGATTCTTGTACCTGGGAACCAAAATAAACGTAAAATGCCTGTCTAATTTTTCTGTTTCTAATTGCTGATAAAAAAAGGGAGAAATCTAAAACAAAAGATCAAAACAAAGAAAGAGATGAATGTTGGTTCGACTTTGCCAATTCCGTGTTCACATTTAGTTGCCTACATCACCACATTTCACATCTGCTAGCGTCTATTAATCGCTGTTATATTTCAATCTGTTTTTCCTTATCTTTCCCATCTGCTTCCTAAGCAACAAGTTGAACAGCACTAGATACTGAAATATAAAATATCAATTAATTTTCAAAAACAAGATAAAATGCTTTACAAATCTACAGTTGGAAATCATTCTAGATTGCTAATTTATTTTTCTTCAACAAAATTGAATCCACTTGGACTTTCTATTCGTGATGAAAGTAAGCTTCTATAACCAAAAAAGTTGCATTTATAAAAAACAAACCGATTTTTCAGGCTGAGGAATGACAATAGGCTTCTCAACTCCAGAGGGCTTTGCAGTCTTTGATGCATTCCCATTCCCAGTGCCCTTATCATGTTGCTTCATGAACCATTTTCTTATATCTGACTGCAATTCAATGTGAAATTCCAAGAAACAGCCTTCTCAAAATTCCATCAAAAGTTAAAATAGATGACAGATCATAAACAATACTAACACAGAAATGGCTTAGAAGGATAACTAAGAAACTACAACCACGGAATAGTGAGGTTATATGTGTTTTAATGTATCAAAATACTACAATTTCTAACTCACCATTGTTTGGCAGATGGCTTCGAGCTATGAATACTAGAATTCAAAATATCGTCTGAAAAAGAAAAAGAAAATTCATTAACATTTCTAGATAAATA